AGCTCGCCGCAAGTGCCACTCGGCCCGGAGCGCGCCGGCCTTCCTCCCAACTTCGTTTTCCCGGCAAAAAGCTATTGTTTTGCCAGAAGGGAGGGAAACGGGAGGGCGCGCGGCGCTTCCTGCCCCCGCCGTAGAGGGGCGCTGCTTCGGCGCCCCCGCCTTGAACTGGGTCTCTGGGTCTGGTGGGACAGTCCTATTTTGCAAGGGAACAAAACGGGCCAGGAGTGGGGAAGGGATGGCAAATAGGTACGGGCAGCGGGGGTGGGGCTCTAGGACAAAAACAGCGTCCCAGGCTTCCCCCAACCCCAAAGGCAAGAGAAGAAAATGCATGAATAACTAAAAATGCCAACCACTTGAGAAAGAAATTATACGAATTTAGTTCTTACTAAATTGCAGTGACAGCGAGACCCAGACGCCAAGTTTCAGGATACCTGCGGGGAGAAAAGCAACTGCTGTTCTTAGTTCGTTTGATTTTGGTTACAGGAACTTGAGACGGTTTGCAGAGATGCGTCTAATTTAGGACTCAGATCATTCAAGGGTTTTCAGGGTCAGCTGTCAGCAGCCTCCGGATCAGTCGCCAAATGGAAAGGACCCCAGATTGTCATAGGACAGCGCCCCGGTCCTCCCTGGCCACCGTGGGCAGGCGACCCTACACTTTTATTCTCCCCAAGATTCTTTCTGCTCAGCAACTCACCCTTAGTATTTGCGTTTTGAACCACAAGGAGTCCAACACGGAATGAAGATATACATTAGCCTTAACTTTGGGTTTAATTTAATTCCATGAAAATTCATTTTCTGGTTCTGTTTTCTCCCTACAGTGCAGTTGCAAAGCTCCCCCTCTTTTGAGCAAATCCCAAAGCCGATTCTCGTAGGAACCTGCTCAATGTAATTGTGGTTACCACCATATTTATGAAGGGTTCTGGAGGGAGGAGAACTGTATTTTTAGTTTTAGCAGAAAGACCTACTGTAGAAGAGGAACTTTGTGAATGCTCCCTCCCCCAATTTATGGGACCTTTTCCTGTTTATTTGATTAAATGGCTACATATATTTGATATGGTGGAGAGAACTTGAAAAGGCAGATTCCATTTGCAAAGGGACAGGAAAAGAAATTTTTTCTTGAGACCAGTGACTTCTCACTTAGGGGGGCTGTGAACGAAAACCCTGGTGGGAGAGAAAAGGAGCGCGGGTGGAGGGAGCTGCATGCCATCTCTCTGCCAGCCCTTTCTGTCCCTGTCCTGTGCAGCTAGGCAGTAAATTGCCAGCCAGGGCAAAGGTGGGTTTATTGTAATCCCAAGAGTAGTTGGATCCGTTTCAAAGATTTTTTTTTTGCAGAATTCATCTTGGGTGTAAGGTTTTGCCCTGAACATTTTCAGTTTCTTTGTTGATACACAGAATACTGAGATACTTGCTTTGATTTTGTTTCTAAGAACAAAAAGCTTTAAAGGGGGGAATTTTTTCTTGCACTAAAAATTAAGTTAGTTTAGAATCTGACACTAAAGCATTGGGAAAAAAAAATCCCTGGAAGGCTCAATATATCCTCTACCCACTGCAGATGCCCAATGGGGAAAAACAACATTTAGGTAACTTATGTAGAGAAACATGACAAATTTGATTAGAATGAAGCCATCAGATAAATATGGTGAGGGTGTGATCCAGAGTGGGTGAAGTTTTCTATGTGATAGTGGAATGAAGATATACATTAGCCTTAAGGAGTGACCCCAGTCAGTCCCCATGTGCCAGATTGTGAGTTGTGCTGAAACAGATTCTCTTTTCTGTTTGACTCATTTGAAGAATTAATAGGACAAGCCTGGTGCAGTGGTATACTCCTGTAATCCCAGCGACTTGGAGGCTGAGGCAGGAGGACTGCAAGTTTGAGGCCAGCCTAGGAAACTTGGCAAGACCCTGTCTCAAAATTGGAGGAAAAAAAAAAAGAACCAAGTTAGAACTAATTCTTTAAAATTCATTCAACAAACAGTTACTCAGTATTTACTGTCACGTAGGGACTGTTAGATATGGGAGAAAGTCTACAGCAGCTCTGCCTAGCAGAACTTGCACAAACACTCCAGTATGGTGGCCACTGACCACCTGTGACTAATGAGCACCCAGAATGTGCCTAATACTACTGAGGAATTGAATTTTACATTTTATTTAATTATAAACAATTTAAATGCCACTTGAGAGGCTGGGGATGTGGCTCAAGCGGTAGCGTGCTCGCCTGGCATGAGCGGGGTGCTAGGTTCGATCCTCAGCACCATATAAAAATAAAATAAAGATGTTGTGTCCGCCGAGAACTAAAAAATAAATATTGAAAAAATTCTCTCTCTCTCTCTCTCTCTCTCTCTCTCTGTCTCTAAAAAAAATAAAAAATAAAAATAAGTGTCACTTGAGGCTGGTGGTCACTGTACTGGACACCAATGCAGGTCTATAATAATCCAAGCACCAATGCAGGTCTATAATAATCCAAGGGATATACTGTAAAGATATTTTTCATGAAAGTTGTAAGGTTCCTTTTTTTTTTAAATCAACAATTTTATTTATTTATTTTTTTTAAAGAGAGAGTGAGAGAGGAGAGAGAGAGAGAGAGAATTTTTAATATTTATTTTTTAGTTCTGGGCGGACACAACATCTTTGTTGGTATGTGGTGCTGAGGATCGAACCCGGGCCGCACGCATGCCAGGTGAGCGCGCTACCGCTTGAGCCACATCCCCAGCCCCAAGGTTCCTTAAATTATTCCTGGAGTAGGATAGTTTATGTAGACTCACATTTATACTTAACTGCCTGTAAGAATGTTTAAAGCATATACCAAGCATTATTAAAGTACCGGCAGGAAGGGATGCATCTCGGGTGTTCTGTTTAGTAACACTTTCTGTGCAAGCGACACGAGAGGATAAGTATTTTCATGATGCACTTGACTATCGAAAATCAGAGATACTGAGGTGGGGAAGGACCTGCTGGTGTCCTTCTGAAGTCAGCAGAAAAGTCAGGATTGAGATCAACCCAGTGACCCTGGCTTTCGTTAAAACTAGATTACGGCTTGTCACTGTGGAACATGCCTGTAATCCCAGTGACTTGGGAAGCTGAGGCAGGAGGATCACAAGTTTAAGACCAGCTTCAGCATTTTAGGGAGACTCTACGATGAGTCAGCTAGATCCTGTCTCTAAAAAGGACCTAGAATGTGGCTTGGTAGGAAAGCACCCCAGGGTTCAATCCCTAGTAGCAGGAAAGACCCAGCTGGATGACATAGGTATGTCTGTAGCAATTCCATGAGCACTTAGCTTATCTAAAAGTCCTGTCTCCTCACTGCAATCCAAGAATATCGGCCTCAAGCAGTCAACAGACCCCTCTCAACAGGTCTGCGTGGGATGAACTTGGAATCGCACAATACTTAATATTTAATGGAACAATCGGGCTTCCTCCCCTCCCTCCAGCTTCCCTCCACCTTTGCAAACAAAGGTGTAACTCACAGGCCACTGGGTCATGTTGTGCCACTGCTGTGTATGTGGTGGATGAATGTTACATATCAGAACTCAAGTTCTGGAGCTTTCAGGTGGCCAAGCGCCCCTGGGCCTGCCGTGTAAATATTGACCCCAGAGCCCCTCCTTGAGTTCCTGGCCCGGGGCGGCCTTCCCAAGCCCCCACCTTATAGCTGAGGAAAAGGAATCCAGGACGGCTCCTAGTATGGGCTGTGGAGCCCAGCTCTGGCTTTTCCCACCTGCCTGGTGGGGCACTCAGGCCACTCCAGCTGGCGCGCAGGCTGTCCAAGGTCAGACACAGTAGAAGCAGCAGGACTCTTGGTACTGTTCCCCTGGGCTGCCTAGTCCATTGCATCACCCCAAAGATTTGCCCAGACCAGAGCCCTCCATGGGAGGGCTCCCCCGGGGGAGGTTAAGGTACGCAGACAGGAGGTGGGATATAATTGTCGCTTTGATTGATGTTGCTTTGGACACAGATTGCAGCCCCTTACAGGAGGTCTCCAGTGCATGAGTGTTCTATTTCAAACGGTGTCATTTATTCATTTTGCAATCACACCAGTCCTGGGTTCCAGTTTCTTGAAATTAAAACAGTGTCAAAGTGGACGTCTTTTCGGGGCATTTGCAAAGAGCTAGCGCGTCTCCAGAACAGCCTGTGACGCTGTCCCCCAGGATTTGCACTCACAGCTTAGGTGCCGCAGGGGCATCTGTCCTTGACTTCAGCAGCCCCGGCAGTGAGTGGTGAGTGGATCCCGGGGACTTCAGAACACACTTGCTGGTTAGCTGGTTTCAGTGGTATCCTAACACGAGCTAACTGTGGCACTTACACACCCTCCCCTGCTCTTTCCCAGGACCTCTGCAGAGGTGTCGTGGTGTAAAATGGTCTAGTGAGAGCAGTTTTCCAGTGTGAACTGCATTATTTTCCACAATTTTAAAATTAGCACTTACGAAGGCCTCAAATCCAGGGTGAAGCCCTTACTTAAGAGCAAATAATTACTTTAGAGATCCGCAGTGCTGCCCCGATGCACGATTCATGAGTCTGCTAATTGATCTTCCTCCATGCCGGAGGAGGTCTCAAGCATCCTCTGTAAAT